AAAATCTGTACGATATATGGTAAAATTAATGGAATACTATGTTAAATCACTACCATGGTTTTTATTTACAGTAGGTTACTTGAAATAATGATACAGTGTTGTAATTTAGGTTTCACTAGTCAGATGGAATTGGTTTATACTTCCTTTCTCTTTTTTCTTTGAAGTTTCTTGTATAGCTTTTCCTGCGATGAGTAGCTTGTTGAGCTTCACGGTGAAGTCACCAACAGTAATCTCCCATCATGTTGATGTTCCAGCGGCCCTGGTAACGTTTTTCCATTAATTTAATATCTTGGTGAAAATGCTCACCCTGTTCCTCACTAACATCTCCCAAATTTTTCGGGAAGTAATCAAGATGACTGTTCAAGAAGTGGACTCTCAGGCTCATCAAACATCCTAGTTTCTTGAAATTCCTTAACATGTTAGCTACAATGGTACAATATTCTGGGTCTTTTGCATTTCCTAAGAATTTTTTAACAACTTGCCTGAATAATACCCATGCTTCTTTCTCATTTATGGTCATTGTGGTTTCAAAGTTTACGTCGAACATCATTTTTTGAATGTCGGGTCCTACAAAGACGCCTTCTTCAAGTTTAGCCTCTGAAAGGTTTGGAAATTTCTGACAGAGATACTTGAAACAAGGTGCATCTTTGGGCAATGCCTTCACAAACTGTTTCATGAGGCCTTACTTTATATGTAGAGGTGGTAAGAGAATGTTTATAGGATCTACAAGGTTTTTACGGAGAATGTTCTTCTCGCCGGCTTTTAAAGACTCCCTCACAGGCCAGTTCTTTCTGCACCAATGTTGATCCCTTGCTCTACTGTCCCATTCACACAAAAAAACATGAAAATTTGGTGAAACGGCCTAGCTGATCAAGAAGCATGCATTTTTCTTTCAAGTCACCACATATCATCCAACCATGAGCCGAATAGCCAATTTTTTTCAACACTATTTCTAGGTTTTCATAAACCTCTTTCATATATACAGAATGGCCAACAGGTATAGATGCATAAGTGTTACTATTGTGCTTTTAAACTAGTTTTGGAAGAATCAATAAACAGCCTCCAGTCTTCTTTTTTGTATTCAACACCAAACTCTTTGATCAGACCTGGAATGTCTGAGCAGTACACTAAATTACCTTCTTGTTCAAAAAATTTCGAAAACTGCTGCTCTCTCTTCCTATACACATATATGCTAGTTCCAACTACCAACAAGTTATTTTCTTTTAGTCTAGAACCAAGCAATTCAAGTTTTTCTTTTGTTAACCCAAAATCCCTGACTAAGTCATTAAGCTCAATCTGAGTAAACAGTTTAGGCTCTATATTTGCTGTAGCACATTGAAACTCTTCATTATCTTGCTCATCTATATCTCACAGTACATCAGAAAACATTTCAGTTTGAACATGGTGCCCTACTGGTCGGATAGCGGAAATAAGGTTAGGGTAGGTTATTACCATATTGTTTTTTGAGTTATGGCCAGTAATATCAATACTGCAAAAGTAGCAATCATCAGTGTGGTTTCTAGGTTCCCTCCATACCATAGAAACAACGTATTTGAAAGATTTTTTCTCATTTTTTGACCATTTTCTAAGATCTTCAACACAAACACAACATACCCTATGCGGGGCTCAAGATTTATCCTGATCACAAAGTTTAATTCCAAAATATGAGAAATAAACCTTTTTCACAAAGTCTGTAATGTTCCTTTGATGTTTTTTTAATAACAAACTCACCACAAATATAACAAAAAATGTTAGCAGAGTGATCACAACCGCGATTAGACATTTGAATGAGCATATGTACTGGGAACCAGAAAGTAAGGTTAGGTTGACAGTAAACAAAACATCAGAACAATATATTATATTGATGTGCAAATGTAAAAGAAAGATAGGTGACACGGCTTAATAAGTGTCATATTTGGATTTAGCACTCTGAAAACAGAATAATAAGGCGGTTTAAGTAAAAAAGTTTTTTCGTCGTTGGCCTGTGTTATTAATACATAATATGAATATGAAGATATAGGGACCTAGCCACCAAAACTTCTCATCCTTAACGGTGAAATGAAACAGTGAACATTTTTCACTTCAAAAAATTGAAAGCTGATTAATTCGGCAGTGAACTAGATAATGAATAATTTCTTCATATTACTTCCATAGAAGGAATAACACAAATTTACAAATTGATACCGTTATTATGGAAGAGAAAAATCGAAGACGGAATTAAGACTTCGCAACGAGCCAGTCCGATAAAATGCATGTATGAAGCATAATTTATCTAGATTTCTGTCGAATGAATAAGCACACAGAGAAATAGACCGCAACTAAGCGTTTCACACGTATTCAAATTAATATATCATGAGGAAGGATAAGTACAAGGTGGAGTGTGACGAGAATCTTGACACTTTGACTAGGATCCTAGTGCTAATTTGAATAATGCTAATGAGTGCTTAATCCAACATCTACTAACCAGTTCAATTGAGTTTATTATTAAACATGGTATCAGAAGCTCTGCTAAGTCGGTTTTTTATTTGGTCACTCTCCAATTAATAAAAAAAAGAAAGATTAAATAATTTATCAAACTGGAGCATTCATGGAGGACAATTTTGTTACTTGAACTAGAATTTTGAACTCGAAACTCGTATACACCCCGACTTAATGTTTTAAAAAGCTCAAATAAGACTTTTGGAATATTGCTAACAAATATAGAGCTCTGTTCTTGAGCATATTCTGAAGCTGGCAGATTCTATTCAGAAAAGAGCTGCCGGAGACCCAAATATCACAGGCAACTTCGACTAGCTGGAAACTCGAAATAAAGTTGGGGATTTATCTCTATTTAATAAATACTTTCGACCGACTCAGCTAGTTTAATTTCAACGATGTCTAACAGAATTATGCGACAAAATTCACCTGCCATCGTTTCAAGGTTAACCTTAACATACTTTGAATACATTTTTTGAACTCTCAAATATGGAGAAGTGGGTCTTTTTTGGAACTGATTTCCTGAGTTGGTCTTTGTAAATGACTATAATTTAACAATGATTTAAATCCAACGTGAATGGTAACTTAAAGCACAGGTACTGCTTTCAAAGCGTTTTGAGGACGTTTATGTAGTGTTTGTGCATCTGTATAAACAAAGGTCTCATAATCCGATCATTGAAAGTAATAAACGCGAGTCAATGTGCCAATTTTTCAGCAAATAAATCGTATTTAGGACGGATTTCGCGAATAACTCAAAATTGTTGTATTTATGCATTTTTCTACAAAATTACAAAAATGCTTTTTTCACTTGAAGCTCATGTTTTTCAAAACTAAGTAATTTATAGGGGTCAAGTACATGAATGAAGTGACTAGGGTAGCGATTATTTCACACTTTGATGTCCCAGAAAAAAAATTCAACATTATTTTCGTTATAACTCGCTCAGCACTTCGAAAAAGTTTTCCCAGAGAAATGCTTTGAAGTTTGGTTACTTCACGTCAAAACTAATAACTTTGGCATTTGATGAATAAGAGATAATCTTCAAGAAGCCATTTGTATTGCATCTACAGACAAAATAAACCCACTATTCCATATTCGTTTTTTCTCAAGCTACATTTCTACTAAAAATGATTTGTTCGACAAAATACTTTTTCGAATTATTCAATCATGCATAAGTGAAAAGTATCGATTTCCAGAAAAATCTGTAAACAAAAGTTGCTTAGAATCGAGTCATTCCGTCTATCTATTTCAAGATTAGTTTTCGATGAAACCGTTTTTATCCCCGAGAAGGGGTGGCATCCACTCCCTGGGTAAAATGAACTGACGGTACAGGGACAACTTGGAAGTAGAGAATAAGGTGAACCCTAATCCAAATTTTGGTGCAAATCGATGCCGTTTGGCAAAATTATACGGTGAAAAGATCACTGACTGGAAAACTATAAAATCGAGCTATTCATGAAGAAACAACTTTTATGACTTTTTACTTCATTCATTTTCAAAAATTCAAAAATATGAATTAGAAAGAAAGACAAAATGGTTCTTCCAGAAAAACTGATTTCTCCGATACCTATTTGAAGAATTGAATTCACCGGCTACCCTATATCCTATATCGATTAAGCTGGGAGGTCGTTGAAAAATGTTCAATGAAATACCATAAATGTTGACAATCACGCATGCAGTAAGGGTAGATTGGTGATCTACAACGTAGGAAAACCCCTTATTGATCTGTAAAACGTGCTACGATGCACTTTACCAGAAAACTGATAGCAGAGAGAGAAAAGCTTGCAGGTGCCCTAGAAATAGTCTCAAAGTATAGAAAATAATATAAACGATTGTAGATTAGGTGGTTACAAAGTATGAGATGAAAAAATATTTTCGTCGTAATGCCGGCGGGACCCCCCTTTCATTTACCAAGAAACATTTAAACCACATTGAAAAAGTGACATTCATGATTCATTTCGTCTAGTACAAATGATGAGATGTATGGCAGACATAGCGCTGTATTGTATTGAGTTTTGGTTGCAAAAGATGGTGTTCTAGATGACTGAAACTGATTAGAATTACTTTCAGGTAGCTTCCAATCATGTCAATTTAGTTGGCAAGATGCACGTTTCTACTTGTGGTGTGGAAAATGTTTCGATTCTACCTATCAAGCTGGCAGTGATATATGACATCCAGTCTGGTGTACTTCGGTGCTGTGCTTAGCAGCCAAATATTTTCAGCGTTTTATAAAAAATGGTTTGGTTAACTATGACTCCAGTACTAAGAAAAATAGTCACCTGGGACTCAGATTAGAACCAACTCGAAACGGTCGCGAGCAAAATGTAAATGATGCTTGTCACCTCAGCTGTCAGTCTTGTCAAGTTGAATCGCTCGTAATCAATAGAATGATAAAACTAGCTACCTCAGTATTTTACATAAGTATTCCAATATAGTGTTCATAGAGTTAAATCAGAAGATACATATGAAAAAGTCTGACAAAAAGGGTTGAAATGATTAATGCTATGTTATAGAAAAGTATATTTACCTGCTTCACTGGTAATCATAGGTTGTAACTTCCTAGTAGCGAAGGTGTACACGTGACCTGTTTCTGATGCTACTAAAAGCATGACTTGAGTTCCGGTCAACGTTGATAACTCGTACGCCTGAAATAAAAAAATTATTCGTAATCAGAATCAATTATAAAACCAATGTTCGTGTAAGTAAATCCAAATTGCTGTTACAGAATATGTTTCCCATCTATTTTATTCAGTCTTAAGTGGATTTTTGTTGAAACCATATATCACTGATGTCTTAAGACACTTAAGACGTAGTATTAAAACTCCAGTATTATTGATAAAACATGTTCAAATGTCTACAACCCAGAAACAAAACAGAGAACTATGGAATGAAGACACTATACTATGGTTCTCCAAGACCCAAGAAATTTCACCTTTGAAAATTTGTTGTCAAAGTTCATGTATCAGTATTTTGGGAATGCCACGAAATAATCATGATTGACTTCCTGGAGAACAAAGTAGAACAATAACTGGCAATCACTATTCGACGTTCATAATAACTCAACGAAAAATAACTATAGAGAGAAGTGGGGAGTTGTCCAAGAGTAAATCCGTGCTAGAAATTGCACGTTGAAAAATAACACCCCGGCAATCCCTAGCTCGCACAAGTTTCGACTTTTGAGGGTTGTCGTTCGCAGGGAGTGGGTGACATCTGGTTAACCCTTTGTTTTCTAGTGTGTACACTGTGAGGACACTTACAAATTATTTATTTCTCATGTGCCTAGAGTCCTCACCGCTGATACACATAAAATGCCGCATGCGTTTGATGTCTACCTATTCCAAATAAAATTTGCTCAAACGAACTGGTAGACCTGTAGATTCGTGTCGGTTATTTATGCGAGTGTTTTTTTCAAGCTGATAAGTACCACCTGTTATATCTGAAATAAAAAGAATAGTGGAAATCATGGCTAATGACCTCAGCAGTCGATGCCAGAATAATAATTAAAAAAAGATAGTCGAAATCCCAAATTAATTTGATTCATAAATCATATGAAAATGCATTTTCATTGTTGCCACAGTATATGCACAAGAAAAAATGATAATTTTGATGTATTTTTTGTGGTGCACCCGGCTTGAGGGCACTAGGAACAAAAGAGCCCTTCTTTTTATTTTTAGATCATAAATGGAACATTTACACAAATAACAGAAAACAATTTTGGTAGAAGAGTTGTTCATGACCTGACAAGAGAGTTGGTTGGAAAAGGATACCATATCTACTTCGATAATTTTTTCAACTATATCGAACTGCAAAAACGTTTACCAGCAGAGATGATTTATGCTTGTGGGACGATGAGAAAAAGTAGGAAAGATTTGCCAAAAGACATTGTTGATGATAAATGCTTGAAGAGGGGCGATTGGGATTGGAGGGTTAACATGGATGGACTGGCATAGAATTTTATTTTAATTTATCGATGTATCGCTTGTATTTCTGTTGCACTTGGATTGGTAGGCGCTAAATCAAATTCCAACAAAAGATGACGCCCATCAACTGCAGCATCTACATCAAATCATTTCAAACGTACGATGCCGTATGAAATTAGGTACGACTCTTGCTCTCTTGCTCTTGGAAAGCCAGGAAGATGTATGTGCCTTGTGTAGCAATAAGTTGGAACCTCCTAAGTCCAGGTGGCATTTTACTAGGTAACAAATATAATATTTCATCAAATTGTCCTTAAAAACACTGATTTGTTTCAGATGTGACGTCGCATTGTGCCTCGCCGACAAAAAAACTGCTTTATGGAATTTCATAAAAACTAAGATGTATTTATATATGTGAAATAAAAAATTTTCACCGCCTAGTGTTTTCACTGTGAGCACTCCCTTCTAAAGCTGAATCAACGACAAATCATGAAAAATAACCATATTTATAGTCTATTTCAAAAGAGTGTAGAGTAATAAATCATGAAGTGTCATAAAATTTGCCTGAATTTCGTTGTCGTCCATGGGCGTAGGCAAATCTTAGGATTATTAAACTTAATAATTAAAGTAAATTAAAAATTACAGACATAGATAATAATAAAAGGCCATTTTTGGGAAGTAATTTGGTCTNTATGATATTTTGTCAAATTGTCCTTAAAAACACTGATTCGTTTCAGATGTGACGTCGCATTATGCCTCTCCGACAAAAAAATTTGCTTTATGGAATTTCATAAAAACTAAGATGTACATATTTATATATGTGAAATAAAAAAATGGTTTCAATGCCTAGTGTTCTCACTGTGAGCACTCCCTTCTGAAACTAAATCAACGACAAATCATTAAAAATAACCATATAAATGTATTTAATAATCTGTTAATAATCATATGCAACTGAAAATTTTTTCATTTTTTTTTCTCAAAAAAATAATTCCGGCTTCAAAGGGTTTAGGAAAAAAGGACACGAGTTACTCGAATACTCCGTTACTCATCAGATATGATTTCATTCAACTATCATGTGTGGCTTCAACTAGTCTGAATTGAATTTTCTTCCAACGAAGATGTACTAGAAGTTTAGGAGATTTGTTTTTCAGAGCAAGACAATTTTTTTGAGAAGTCTGAAGGCTGTAATAAATATATCCAGGTCGGTAGCCAGACGGTTCGACGTGGGTGCTTTGTTCACTCAGTCAATCGGCTGATGTGTCTGTCGATGGTTCAAGCCGCAGGCTGAACGATCGATTTTCACTTGCTATCGTCCAACCCGTGTTAGGAATCACACGTTGAAAGGTGAGACCTCGTTAGTCCTTAGCTCGCACAAGTTTCGACTCCTGAGGGTTGTCATTCGTAGGGGTGCGATAGCTGGTTAACGGAAAAACATTTTTTTTTAATTAAAAGGAGAGTATGTTGAATAATGAAATACTTCAATTATCAAATTCAGTTAAATTCTATTTTATTCTATTCTATTTAGAATATATTCTTGTTGTATCAAAAATATTGTATTCTACACTTGGGAGACAGAACATTTGCCAAATAAGATATAAGTTCAACTGATTGGACAACGCAGCGGTCCCCCTATTCGAGAAATCTCTCTTACAATCATTAAGGAGCAAGTGTTACATCAATTTCGTCTTACACCTTGTTATAAAGCAACACATCTACTAGATGACGGCTGCTACTGCATTATTGAATTCTATGAATGTCTTAGAAGTTTAAAAAGCAACATGACAGGTATGTATATTGGATGTATGTATAAAAAAGATCGATAATAAGCATTGTAAAACCAATTTCTATTTCAACTATAATATAATGGATCATATATTTTTTCTTTCATGATTTTTGACAGATATTTTCCATTATGAAAAAGTATTCGTGTCGGCACAAACGCCTATAATTATAATTTTATTACTAACAATATTGGGATCATTAGTACAGAATGATGACGCACTTTTTTAGCCTTTTGTATTTTTTGAAGAACGTATTATAATTTCTTAGCATTCCCGACCGAATAATATATGCATATGGCCGCTAATTATGTATTACGAAAGGAGCCGAGTTATGCTTTCTCCTTTTATCTTTTTATCTAACTGTAAGTTTTGGAAATAATCACTAATTATTTACCTTTTGTGTAGTGAAGCTTCATCGATACGATATATCTTAGTTTATGAATTGACAATCCGTACGCTAGGATACTAATTCATCCTTTTCAACGACTGCTTTCTTATCTGATTGGAAATGACGTGTTAAATGTACTGAAGATGAAAGGAAAGAATCCTTTGAATCCAAAAACAATAGCAGACAATGATACTCTCTAGCATATGATGAAATAGGCACGACAAAATGATGTTATGAAAAAACAGTGTGAGCCAAAGAAAGCTTCATTATCAATTAGTTCCTCGCAATACACATTTACTACAAATTAATTGTCAAGAGAAATATTTAAAGTCACACTTTGGAGAGCTTTCTCCAAGACTTTAGGAGGATATTAGGAGTCAAATAATTTTTTATTAGTTTATTATATAATATTATATAAATGAACTGTAATAAAATTGAATGTAACTTTATTGTAAAAGCAAAAATAAATAATAATGAAACAGTCTGAAACCGGTT